TCATCTTCAGTTTGAAATCTTTTCTCTTAGTCTTCAGATTGGCAAGTTTAAGGTAAGATTTAGACTCTTATGCTAAAGTTAGAAAGCTTGAAGAATTTTGATAATTGTAAGACAGTATTTGTTTTATGCATGTTAGTTTTCTATGTTCTTATTCATGTTATTGAAGTACATAAAAATTATTTAGTGTACTAATACCATTAGTGTAAAAAAGTAGGTTTAAATTTTAGTGGCAACCAACAGCAAAAAACAAGAGGTCATTTGTAAATTTTATATATTTCTTGTTTTTCATATATATTCTTTATTTGTTATTTTAAAAGTAACTAAAATCCAAAAATTAGAAACCAATTAGGTTAGATAAGGCTAGATTAGGTAACACAATGAAAAAATAGTAATAAATATTCGTCATGAAATATGCTCGTGCATTACACAATTTGATATAGTAACATAAGCTACATATTTGCTGAGTGATTCACAACTTGTGTTGTGGAAATATTAATTAGACATGGGTCAAAGGGCAATAAAACAATAAAATTAAGTATAAATAAATGTATACCATTACAAGAGCTTTAAGCTATTTAGGATAAACAATTTTTGTATCCAGTTAAAATATAAAGTAATTCTAGAAAGAAAAAAAGTAATTTAGATTTTTTTATGGTGGTTACAAGGTTAATTAAATGCATATAGAGCTGGGGTAGAGAAAATAACAGATAAAATGTAAAGTTTTACTAAAAAAGTTTGATATTTATGTAGGAGTTTTTATGGATTACACAAATAAAATATTAAAATTTTCAGATGAGAGAAAGAAAAGCATTTTTAATCTTAACATCAAAATTATTTTGCACTTGGAGCATTCATCACTCTAACTCCATATATTTATTGACAAATTTGTAGTAAAAATACTTCATTAAAAAATCAAATTTTTTGTGTACAAAAACTTGTAATGTTTTCTGAAAGCTTGCCAAATTTTGTGAAGATAAGCAAAACATATTAAAAGTTATAGCGTGAAAACCTTGATGGTAATTTTGGGGTTATGAACTTTATCGAATCAACCAAGCCTGTAGCGATTGGATTAACCTTATGGTTATGGGGTTGAATCCATTTATAGTATTTTCTTATAGCAGAGCCACATCTGGCTATCTGCTGTGTCCACTGAGGGAAATCGGACCCCTCCTTTTAGCATTGTAAATCTGAAGACTTACTGCTGTCCCACTGGGGGACCTTTCCATGTGGAGAATGATACAAAGTTAAACAATACCTACAATAACTCTGAGCTTTTTTAACATATTTTCACAACAATTGGTAAAATTTTGTTAAAGATTACACGTATTTTGTACAAAAATAATGAGATTATTTTAATTAAGTATTTTAACTGAAGATTTGTTATTTTTTATTCTAGTTATTTGCACTAAAACTCTGAATATTTCAAGTATTATCATTATATTAGTATTATATGTTCTTAATTGTAAGTTTTTACTTTTCCACACAAGTAATTTTTTGATGTTTTATTTTAGCATTGTTACTTATTACAACACATGTCAGTGGGCATTCTCGGCAATATTAGGGTATCATAAGCAGAGAAAGTTTAGCCTAATACACTGAGCCTGATGAACCAAAGCAGTTTGGCATATTTTTCAAAAAACTATTAAAACCTTTGTAATATGCATTTTAAAACATAGATAGCACATAATTAACTAAAATATAAAACTAAAACCTAAGTGCAATTTAATTGTCTCTCTAATTAATATATTTATAGGTGAGAAACAATACTAAAGTACTAGTGAGAACAAAAGCAGCAGCAATGCTAAAAGGAGTTTGAGAAGTTCTCTATGGAATTATTCATGCCAGTTTTAAAATGTGGTTTTCTATTGGTTATAAACATCTAGCTCAACTAAGTATAATTGGCTGAGAAATTGCAACTCTATGTGTAGAAAGTGGGTGTGGCATCTGTCAAGAGTTCCAAGAAATTTCTTTTCTTTTTTCCATATGCGCCCTAATGAATTTAAGCGAAGAATGTGTAAACAGAGCAATTAACCTAGATTCCACCTATACGTGGAAGGTTAGCATATGTCAAGGGGTATTCAAATTACAAAGCCCAGAAGTTTTGTGAACTTTTGCATCAAACTAAAATTTAAGAATGTTTTCTCCCGTGTTTTATTAAAAATATAGGAAATAAAACTTAGCTAATATAAAATTTTGAACCATGGCATAAATTTTATTGCTAAATTCATTGGCATACATTGATCATAAGATTGCTTAATTGAACTTTAAATATAACAAAATAAAATCTTGTGACATGCGTAGAACAGGGGTGCCCATAACCATAGGGTTAATGCTACAAACCATACTATAGATATGTAAACATAAATTCATAGCTGGAGCCTAAAAAGCCATCATGAAAGATATATCTTTTAATAGATAAAGGTCTTAAGTACATCAAAGATCATTTGTAGGAACATTGTAGCATTATAAAAGAAAGGACAGGTATTAATCCATTCATATATACCAAAAGTTCCATGGAATTTCTGATAGTCATGTATAGATTAACACCTGTCCTTTCATAGCTAAATCTATTGAAACATTTTATTTCAGCAACTTTATACTAGCCTACCCTTATATAAAATCATTGAAAAACTTAATTTTACAATTAACAGATCTTTTGATAATGAAGACAAGTTAATGAGTTGCATAATAATACTTATCATGAAAACTATCATTACTTTATGCTGAATCGCTTCATACAAACCATTTTTTTTTTATTATTATTTAGCACATTCATATGATTCATCTCGCACATCTTTAAACAGACACAGGGCATGCTGAAGGATGATAACTTCAGTCCACAAGCAGAAAATTTCTTCCTTTTTGATCTTGAGTATTAATATATCACACAACTTCTCAAGAAGGACTACCATAAAGCTTTACAAATTAACAGCATACAGATACATTCACAATGTAACAGTACCAAACTGATCAAGCTTTCTTTAAATAGCAAAGGATATCTCTGACAGATATAGTACTTGAAAAAACTTAAACAAATATAAATAAAATACACTATATTCCTTCAATGATTACAATAAAACAGAGGAATTTAAAGTTATAAATTTGCCATTTCATGACACAAGCATTCCAAAGAAAATATGCTTTAACATTTACTTATCACAACTCATTGGATTTGGTAGAATTTGTTGTAATTTGGAAGAGAGAGTTTAAACATTATCATATAAATTTTTGAATAGAGGTTTTTTTTTATTAAGTTAGATACTGCATTTTTTTTCAATTTTTGTCGTATATACAATATATTTTTAACTAAAATGTATAACATTGACAACTTCACCACGTTTCATACAATTTTCAATAAAGATATTATGAAATTGATGCTATAAGTTAACATAATAGCTACAGATTATGCACAACGTTTTTTATTCTTGCCTTATGTAATCTAACAGAAACCTAATCATTCCACTTTTCAAAGCTATTACGTTATTAAACTGTAAAATACCTTGTACTGAGTCAGTTGTTTTCCATGGTGTGTCATTGACTCAGTGCAAATAATATAATGAACATACTAAATACAGAATATAAATAATTTCTTTCTTTTTAGACGTATATCCTCCATTTAATCTTTCACACTTATCATTCATCTCCACCAAAAGTTATGCTGGTTCAGTCATTTATCAAGGTGTGGTTGTTGACTCAGTATTGATCACATAATTGATATAAACACTACAAGATATAAATAACTTTATTTATCTAACCGTAAATATTCTAACACAAGTTTAAGCCTTTATCACATCAAAGAGATTTAAAACTATCCATTACCTATGCTTTCCTTCAAGTTCTGTGCTAATTTTTCGTAAATTAACTTTCCACTTGTAAGAACTGGTAATCTTTGGTTTGTTCTCTATGCCCCCCCCCCCCTGCATTCATGGCTGGTCATTGGACAGACTTATATTAACAAAGTCACCTATATATGCTATAGTGGAGTGAAACAGATTACATGTGACATTTTTTTAATTCCGTGGTAAGTGCAATTTGCTTAAACTAAAATGTTTAAGATTGACAATTTCCATACTTCACTAACATGAATTCTGCAAAGTCAGCTGTTTTTCACAGTGTAGTTGTTGACTCATTATAAGTTGCATAGTTATAATGGTCAATCCAGAATATAAACAGCTTTGTTCATTTTAGGCATATATATATATATTTCAATACAGGCCTAAGAATTTAACCTTTCACACTTATCATGTTATTCAATTCCACTTAAAGTTATACTAGGTCAGTTATTTACCACAGTGTGGTTCTTGACTCGGTATAGATCACAAAATGAACACAATTGCTATGAGATATAGATACTATAATACCACTCCTCCCATTGTAATTCTGGCTGTTGGGTACATGTTCTTTAGCAAAGTCACCATCAAACAGTAAGATGGATAGAACTAGACTAGATACACTAACAGTTGTATATTCACACAGGCTGTGCTATTGTTCTCTGAACATCTAGTTGGAACTTGCCTCTTACTAAATAAGACACAAGTTTGTATGTGTTTCTGTGATTCATAGTGATTTACAGTATTAAATTTAAATAATTCAATATGTATATTTAGGTATTGACAATGGTAACTAGATCAATGTATGACATTAAATTTCTTAAAATGTAGTAACTACATTGGCCTAATGTGATAGGCATGATACCTGAAGTTTTACATGTGACAGTTCTATTTCGCTTCTTGTTAATATTGCTAAACAGGCCTAACTTTGTTGTGTATTTTTACGTTAAGAGCTGAAAACGTTACAAGCAACGAGGGTACCCAACTGCTGACCTAGGGCAGAATGGTCATAGAAACTTTTTGAAGTGTGCCTGTTACTCACAATTATGACTGTTTAATATTAATCGTAATTTTTATTGTGGAATTTTAGTAGCTCTTCTAGCAGAAGTTATTTAATTGTAGTAAGTTTCCAATACCCATGAAAACTTTAAAATTCCATTTTGTCCACAGGGTGTGAAGAGTGTGATCAGTTCAAAGAGAAAGAATGTGCACGTCATGTAGTCCAGTTGATAGTGGACAAACCTGTCCTGAGCCGTGCATGGGCAAGTTTGCCAGCAACTTACCTCTACCTGCATAGAATAGCTGATGCCAATAATGAGTCAGGTAAATCTAATTTAAATTTTGACAAATTTTTACCAGTGGCATTAGATAGAAACTAGCCTAATGAAGTGCACTTGAACCACTCATTTAATATTATCTATACTTATTTCAACTTAGGTTTGTATTCTATTCCTTTTTGAATATTATTTTGAGATAAATATTCATCAGAGAGAAAGAAATACAACATTTTTAATTTTCCAATATTCTGATGTTCAATCAACACTGCAAAAAAAATTATTTTTTTATATTTTGATTAGTATTTACCACAAATGTAGTTCCTTGCTTTTTTATGTTTTTAACTGATTTGTAATTAAAAAGTAAAGATCAGATTTTAAAAAAACAGTCCAAGCACTATGTTTCTTTTGTATTTCAAATGATCTTTTTTTTGTTGTTGTTGTTGTTTTTACCAAAGGAAAGTATTCAAACAACTAATTGAAATTTTTCATTTCAACTGAATACTGAAGTAAAAGAATTAATTAAATTAAAACATATTTCAGCAATTTCACAGAATGCCTTCTGGTTTTTAATTACACATTCCAGAAAAAGAAACATCCAGTAACAATATATGTTTGTACTTATCATTGTGTGCATCTTCCTTTCTATGGGTGTACAGATAACTTATATCATTATTACTCAACTGACTAAACTATTACAATACATCACAACAACTCTGTAGCTGGATGGACCTAAGGTACAATGTTTATAATGGGACTAGAACATTCATAAGATTAGATTTCCAAAGACTTATAAACTTAAGCTCTATCAAGTATTTCATTAGTGTTCTTCAGGAGTACGGAGGATAATGGTTAAAGAGTGTGTGGTAATAAATATGAAAAAGATTAATGTGTCTTGTGAGCAGGAAGAGTTTGACAAGATCATTGTGAAAGCTGACCAATCCCATTTGAAGAAATGTGTGTCATTAGGCAAATGTTTTATTCAAGGTAACAAACTATTGAAACTGTAAAGAGCATAATGAAAGACAAAAATTCAAATGAAAACCTTTCATACCTGTTTAGTTGATTTGTTTATTTGAAATCCCCATTGACTTCTGCTGTTCTAAATGCATGTGGAAGTTTTGCAAGCTGTACACTGTATATGGCACATTCAACTGCCAGAGGCAGACCGTATCTTATACAGCAAATCCGCAGGCAATGGGTTAAAGGATAAAAGAATAATAAAACTACAGAATTGAATAAAAACATGGAATAACCCTTTCAAATTTTCAGAATGATGATAATAATTAAGAAATGAATGGAAAATGCATTACTAGAGATTAAATGTAGAGTACTGAAGTGAAACAAGTTACTGGTTTTGGAGCTCTTTTTAAAATGTTCTAAGGTAAATAATCCTAGGATTGAGATCAACACCATTTGACATCATAGTATTCAGAGCTGCTATCCAGAAAGTTTCATACTCTGTCTCTTTGATGCGAAGCCAGTGTCTATACCTATGAGTTTTATGTTGTGAAGGAAGTGGTCCAGCATGTCATGATTTTTCTTAATATATACAATATTTTTAGAAGGTGAATGCTTATCAATACAGGAAAAAACAAATTGTTTTGTAAAAGTAGCATGATATTTGGCTCTGTTTGTGCCCTTTTGTTCGAAAATATCAAAAGTTAAAGATAAACCAAAAGTACGATTCACTTTTTTCATTGCAGATAAGGCAAGTAGCTTTGGATGAGAAGATAGAAGTGTAATTATCAACAGAACACAACAAAGTGAATTGATAAGTTTATGATATTTTTATCACTGTTGCCCTATATCACAAGCTTATTTTGTGAGCAGTCTTCCTACAGTCAACGAATATCATCCACAAATACCAGAAGAACTGGATGGTGGTGCCATCTAGTATACATGGAAATACTTTGTGGGGAATTAGTTGACAAAACAAATACGAGTTCATTTTCATAACAGTGAGGGTTTCTCAAGAAACGCTAGAAAAACAAAATTATTAAAGATCCGCTTCAAAAATTCAAGTGAACACTGCTCAACTATAGTTATAGCACTGTAATATCTTTAAAAGCTAGTGTTTGTTAAGCACAAAGCCATACAATGGGCTATCTGGGCTGTGTCCATCATTGATTACGAAACCCGGTTTCTAGAGCTATAAGTCTTCAAATATACCGTTGTGGCACTTGTGGTGTTGGTTTTGTTTGGAATTTTGTGCAAAGCTACACTAGGGCTATCTGCACTAGCCGTCCCTAATTTAGCAGTCAAAGACTAGAGGGAAGGCAGCTAGTCTTCACCACCCACCACCAACTCTTGGGATACTCTTTTACCCACAAATAGTGGGATTGACCATCACATTATAATGCCCCCATAGCGAGTGTATTCGGTGGGATGGGGATTCGAACCCAAGACTTGTTACTTATAAAACCATATGAGTAAAAGTATAAAATAATGTAATAATATGTCAACCTCACTCTATCTACTATATCCATTGCCGACAGGGCCTTTCGCTCAATACCAGAGATATGACAGACATAGAGGTGGTTGAGACGCTGTTTATATCATCAGTTACGTGAACAAAAATTATTTTATTGGGAACTAGGTTAAGGCAAACTGTAACTTTTACAAATTTAATTTTTAAGTCATTACACAACAGAATTGGGTTTGTGATTTTTATTAGCATAATTGTACTTGTTGTTTAACATCAAATTGTTTTATTATAAATATTACTTATCTACTTACTTTTATCACTTTTTACTCATCATTCAGAAAAAGTGGCAAACCAGTAAGCCAGTTTTTTTTTATCCCTGAACGGGTCGAATGGCCATAGCGACAACAGGAGAAGATTCTATTTGTAATCATAAGAACTTATGAGTGAAAGTAAAGAAGAATGTAATATCACACAATATCGAAAAATGTGATATTTTGGTTTTCTCAAATGTTAATTAAAATATAGTAATATGACACAAATACCTTAGAATTTCTTTCACAGAATATAGGCTTAATGCTTTCAACACAACATAAAGAGGAGTTTCTGTGATCATTGTTTGTCTATAGTTACAGTTTGTTTTTAACGTGTTAGAATGTGGAACACGAGTAATGAAGATATATAAGGAATTGATTGAAACTGTTACAAGGGAAAAGTAGTTAATATGGTCAGCATTTAAGCAAGTGACTTTCATTTTATTCATTTATTGTGAGACACTGGAATTAGAATTTTCAATCTCACTGACTATTTTATATTTTATAAAGTTCTTTCAGATTCATATTAAGAATAAGATTTTTATTTTTTAAATTCTATTATTATTATTATTCTACATTGCTATTATATTACTCTTCAAGTTATCTTAGGTGAAGAATCAGTTTAAAATTACCATTTGTTCTTGTTTTACAAAATTGAAATTATTAAATATCACTAATTCTATGTAGAATTATAGGTTTTATAAAAACAATTAATGTATATTTTAACATTTGGTTGTGTCATTAGGCCAATGAAATGAAAACTAATTATTTGGTGTTTGATCAGTATTATCATTTTTTTTTGTGTGTGTGCAGAATATGGCGTTTTTGCTAAGAAGACAATACCAAAGAGAACACAGTTTGGACCAATTGAGGGTGTTCTAGTGGAAACAGAAAAAAGACCCAACAATAGATTTTTACTCATTGTAAGTATAAATAAGAAAAACATTTATTAAGACATAAGAGTTATATTTTCTTTGGCCATTGCTATCGCTGCCAAGAGAAAGATTGCAAAAAAGCCACTGACCTACTATTTCAACCAAGTGCCAGTCACTGCTACAGAAAAGCTATTGACATCGACACCAACAGTTTAATTTAACTCACCTAACTAACCCTAATATTTCACATGATTTTTCACAAAGTAACAACATTAGTTATCATGAGCTGATTGATACTAGTAGCAGTAGCAGGAAGAATATCAACATACACACATTGTGACAGACTTTTCTTCTTTTCGAAAATTTAAAACTAGTCTAGATCACCTTAAAAACAAAGGATCTTAGTAGGAGAATTACGGCAGCTTCCAAAGGATATCCAATTATCACAGAGACTTTCTGTCCTTTAGTTTAATTTACTGTTCTCTGTATCATGAGGGTTATCTTGGTTTTAATTGCCACCATCTTTTCGTTGTCAATAGCGAATTTGATTTTCTTTTCCTTGTTGATTTCTATTTCAGTCATCATTTCAGCAACCCTTACCAGGTGTTTCAATTTATTGATTGACACATACAATAAACATTTATCACCCACATTGTAAGCTTATGTAAATATCTGAATTACTACTTTCATGATTCTACTCTATTCAGAATTACATGATCTCACATCATAAACAAAGGACAAGTTTAATATTGAGCAATGTCAACTTCAGTTAGTCCAATATTAAAAATTTTTTTTAATATTACAAAAACAAGGTAATTGATTTTAGGCATACAGAAATTTTGAAAAGTTCAAAAATATTAACTATGCCATTAAAAATTATTATTATTATATACTTTTTTTTTAGTTCTTAAATCTCAGGATCTTAAATCATAGAATAAACATTTTGTGAAGTGATCCTTTTATTTTTGTGATCATAACAGAATGACTAAAATATACTTTTTTACCAATTACCTTGAAATTTTGCTTAGAAAGAAAGTAAGAACTAAAAGAAAAGAATGGGTGAATAAATGTAGACAATTACTAATTTCTAACAAGATGTCAAGAGGTTAATTTTATGACTTGGAAAAGGAATTTTGTTGTTGAGGCCTATTGATGCTTTTGTTTAACTTTACAAAAATGTAGGAAGGATTGAATAATACTAAAAAAGACATAAGAAAATCCTGTAAGTTAATATTGCTGTTGTTAAATTATACTTGGCAACCCATAAAAAAATAATTGCCGAGTTAACATTCCTGCAAACCTAAGAAAAAATACCTCATTTTGTTTGAAATATATCACTAAAATCTCTGAAAACTTAAATTAATGTAAGTTGTTCAAAGATATTTTTATTACTTAGTAAAAATTATGAAAAAACTTGTAAGATTTTCAAATCTTATGATTAACTAACTGTACTGTCTACAAATTCAAATAAGGTTCAGTGTAATGTAACCTGATAACTATATTTGATACAGCTGTGTTTTAATGTGGCTTATTGTTAAACCAGGATGTTTATATATATATATATATAAATTATAGTATGGTCATATTAATTAGTCTATTTTATAATTACTTCATATGGCAGAAACGTATGCTGTCTGAGTATTGACATACTGAGATTTCAGCATAGGATCATCTTTCCACTTGTAATTGTGATAGATAATTTTGTTATGTAGGTTGAACATGATGAAGACCACACAGTGTATCTGGACACCTCTGAAGAATCACGAAGCAACTGGATGCGTTTCGTAAGGCCAGCAGAAAGTTACTGGCAACAGAACCTAGTTTTAGTCCAACAAGGTCAGTCCCTTTATTTCAACACTACTCGAGCCATAAATCCTAGAACAGAACTGCGGGTGTGGTACTCATCATCATATGCAGAGAGTTGGAGTCTTTCCCTGCTAGAAATGCCAGAAGAAGAGACAAGAGGTATGATGATGATGCCATAACTATTTCAGATTTTATAATTAAAATATAAAGCTTGTGAGCACCTTTCAGGTGTTGAGTGTAAACCTGCATACCAGTTTTCGAAATTTAAGTGAAAATAGTAATTCTAACCCTATTTCAATCTTTTTAACTCAAAAGTATTTTAGAATTGATATTTTTTCAGCGTCTAACAATTATTTAGTGTAATTCACAAATAAGAATGAAAATAAATTGTTACAACTTTTATTTCTGCATAGCCCTAAGGAGTCTTACCTATAAACAGTGCATTTGTCAATGTTTTACAGTTTTTCTAGCTATACCATAATATAATCTTACATTTCCTAAGAAGTTGTTTTAGCAGTAACTTGTATTTTTTTGAGATACTTACAAGTCAGAGCTCCAGTAGAAACAAATAAAGAACTCTAATGGGAAGTTTGGTAGACTTAGAAACAAATCATGAATCTGATAATTTAGTCAGATTTGTTTATCTGTTCACTGTAGATCCCTGGGTTCTTCACATTCTAACAGAAGAACTATTCCTTTGAGTTTCTGCCCTCCTCAGGATCCCAGTTCATGCCAGCATCTCTTAGAGGCAGTTCAAGATCTTTTGCACAAGGCTGCTATTGAACAAGCATTTCACACTTCCCTGGGGTTTTATTCCTAGTTGTTCGTGGTTTCCAAGAAAACCCCGGGACTGGCATCCTGTCATCAGTCTTTCCAACCTCAACCTCTTCATCATACTCCCACAGTTGGATGACTAAGATCGATGGTTTGGATGCTTACCTTCATATCTCCATATCTCCTGCATTCGGATGTTACCTTTGGTTTGTTCATGGGAGTCAGCCCCCCAGTGGCACAGCTGTATATCTGCAGACTTGTACTGCTAGAAACCGGGTTTCGATACCTGTGGTGGGCAGAACACAGATAGCCCTTTGTGTAGTTTTGTGCTTAATAATAAAAAACATCATGGGGTCCAGTGTTTCAGTTCCGCTCTTTACCTTTTGGTCTGGCATCAGCACCATATGTTTCTTGTTGTGTGGTCAGAACCTTTTCCCACCATTTTCACACTCGGGGTTTGCAGTTACATCATAATATGGACAACTGGCTTCTTTTAGCTCTGTCCCAACAAGCCTCTCATTATCATACCCATTTCCTCCTACAGGAGACAGCTTGTGTGGAATGGCTTATTGAGCTGGAGAAATCCTATCTCACCCTCATGCAGTGTCTTATCCATTTGGGGGTATTTTTCAACACCTATCTCAGCTGGGTACAGCCTTTCCTCTTCCACTGAGGTAAATGGTACTCTTGGTTTCCAAAGCCAAGTCCTTTCCTTCTCTACCTGTGTATGAGATTTTATTTCTTTTGGGTATCTGGGTTTCCATGATTGCCCTCATTACCCTGGGATCATGCACACATTCATTGTCTTTAGTGGGTGTTGCACAATCAATGGAATCTCAACCGGGATCCCTTGGACTACCATCCTCCTCCCTCCTTCCCTATCAGTCGACTTTGATGATTCAACAGAGACAATACCATGGCTGGTGTTTCTCTGCCTTCTCCCCATTCTAATTTGCTCCTTTTTATAGGTGTTTCTCTACAGAGTGGGGACCATGTCTGGTTTCTCAGGAGAACTGCGGTCATTGGATGATGGTCAAATCTCTCCTCCACATCAAATTTTTGGAACCTCTTCCAGATTCCCTGGCCTTGGATTATTTCCTACCTTTAGTAAGGGTTATTTGTTCATGATCCATTCAGACAATTTGACCATTGTCTCTTACAGCAATCAACAAGGAGGCACTTGTTCACTTTTGCTTTGTTTTTGAACATTGGATTTCCATTTCATGACTTAGTGTTTCCCACCTTTTCAATTTCATTACTTAGATTTTCAACATTGGTTCATCAGTTTCCACTACTGTGGGCTATAGAGCAGCCTTGTCTAATACCTTTCTTTTCTCCTGCTTCCATCACATTTTTCATCTTCTGTCTTTTCTCTCCTGCTTTATTTTTTCACCTGATTTATCTGCCTCATCGGATTCCCTTACCCAACTGGAATCTCAGTGTGGTCCTTCATTCCCTTATCCCTCCTCCCTTTGACAACTTGCTCATTGTACCATTTCTCCCTCAAAACGTATTTCTTATTCCTCTTCACATGAGGTTGTTGTAAGTCAGATATCCTCGCTATTGATGTTTTTAGTATCCTCTTTCACCATACCTATTTTCTCCTTTTCCAGATCATAGTTTTTCCTCAAGACATCAGCAGCATGTGAAGGGGAGAACACCTTCACTACTATTTCCTTCCCCATCATCTCTCACTTGTATGTACTTTCCAATACCAGTTGTCTACTTTGTCCAGTACATGCTCTGCTTTGTTATGTTGCCCATACTGCTTCCCACTGTGAATCCTATTCCTATCTTTTTATACCAAGGAATACTTCCTCTAAACGTTATCTATCACCATTACAAGATGGATTTGCCAGCTTATTTGTCTTACTTGTGGATCATTATCTTTTGTATTTTTGTTGCATTTTCCAAGTTTTCTCTCACCAGAGATGACATCTCATCTCTTCCCTGACTGCCCACTTCTGTCATCCGTTTGAAGAGACTGTACAGAATGGCATGTGGATGACACCTTACACATTTATATCACAATACCTGCATCATTTGGCAACCTCCTCCTATTTTGGCTATCACTTGCTACCCATTGTCATTCTCCACACATCATTTCAACTCCGAAAGGGAAAGTTTTTCTTTTTAATTTCTTCCCTTTCCAGTTGCTCTTTCTCCTTTTCTGGATTCCACTCTATAGTGAGTGGTGTCTGTCAAGATGTACTTTAATGTAAATCTGCACCATATGGCCAAACAGTTTTATGATGCTCACTGAAAAGATGAGGTGTTCCACAAGATTGCCTCGCAGTATCTTGCTTCATAAATAAGGCTCACACCAGACTGTACCAGCTCGAGGACTGTCATGAGTAAAGCAGTGTCAGGATCACAACCCATCCTTCCAGTCCTAGTTGAATAAACTGGGATGGGCCTGCTTTTCAAATTTCACTGTCTTACAGTCTTGTGTTCCTCCAGACTCCCCATCGTGTTGTCCCCCTTCTTCTAGTAGAGTATGGGAGTCCTTGCCACTTACCAGTTCCAAGCTGCTTGAGTGGTAGACCATGGAGGCTTCCTCCTGAGTGTGAACAATTCCACTCAGTCAAGAGTAGAGCAGTGGTGTTCTGTCAGTGTAGATGGGGGAGTACTCTTTCCTACCACAGAGTGGAAGAAAAATTTCTGACACTACCTGGTTTTGGACTGGATAAATCCAACACATGCAGTTCCCCCCATGCTGAATTTCTCCCCATCCTGCTGCTGCCTTGATCTTGGTTCCTTGATAATCCTAGCTACATGTGGTTCATAGGGACCCTCCTCTTATTACGGACTGGATGACAAATTTCCAATGCTGCCTGGTTTTGGACTGGAGTGGACCACCACATTTACATGCCCTCTTCCTACCATTGCCCATGGTTGCTGGGGGGCCTGGTGTTGGTTTTGTACTGGATATGCACACATGTGCCCTGCCTGGGTTGTTGGAACAGAAGTTGGTTTTCCATTCTGCTCCCTGGTATTGAGATGAAGATGGTTGGGACTTTCTCCTACCATGGACCAGAAGACAAATACCCAATGCTACCTGGTTTTGGACTGGAGTTGACCCATCAAATACAAACCAGATGCGCCCTAACCAATCTACATCATCTTGAGGGTCCAATTATGGATTTGATGTGCATCTTTTTCCCCATTTTAGCAACACATATCTTTACAACAGGTAAAGAGTATACATGGTATAGATGAAACTAGTGTAACCCAATAACACACATTGATCAAAGTATAGATTGAATTTGACCTCCCTTGAACTTATACTTCAAAATTAAACAATTTTCGGAATACTAATTGTATTTATTTTTTACTATTAACTTGTATCTGAATGAACTGCTACTTGAAGCACAAATGATCAAATTAACCCTACATGTACAAAGTTTGTCCATTGGTCCAAGCCCATATTGAAGAATTAATGTTTACTATAATTCTGAACTTAATTAGTGAAGCTTCTCAAAATTTTGTAAATTATAAGCAAACATTACATGGCAAGAATTTAAATTTGATGTCAAGAAACCCACTTTTCAGAAAATATAAGTTTGGAGATGGCTTGAATTGGTAATGAAGAAAACTTTATTATAAGTGTACAGTGTTTCAACATTAGGTAACTTGATGATAGATTTACTGTGGTAGACAAGTGAGGAAGCCTAAGGGAAAGATATATGTAGGACAACAAAGGCAAATGTTTATACTTACACAACCTTGAGTAATTGCTGTGATTGCTTGAATGGCTTGTACACTTATAATAAAGTTTTCTTCATTACCCATTCAAGCCATCTCCAAACTTTTATTTAAACATTACATGCATACCATATACACACAAAATCAGTTTTTGATAAAGTATTTCTATTAAAAACTTTTCTTTGAATTTTCTTCAGTTAGTCAGTCTGACTCAGACTCTCATTTGTTTTAGTGCAAGATAATTTTCATGTTAAGAATAAAGATAATTTTATTAAAATAATTTGTAAATGTAAAATTTCATTTGTCTAATTCCAAATTCAGTTAACAGTACAAGTCTGTTTTACACAAATCATGTTACCAAAGTTTTGTATTAAAGATATGTTTGTGAATTGCTGAAATTAGTGTGACTTGGACTCTGACAAGTCAAAGTGTAAGATGATGCAACTTTAAATAATAAAAATATTTTTGTCCATTGTACAGTTTGCAAATTGCAGTTGCATAATCTCTACAACTTTTTAAATGTATATTTATAGTTTTTCAGTATTCCATATATTGTATCTGTTATTTTGTCTATTCTAACACAAACTTTGCAAAATCAGCAATGTAGGATAATATTTGGTATTGATAGCTCGGACATAAAATGCATAATACCATGTTCAATGGCACACTATACAATTTTT